TATATATATATAAACACTTAACATGAAAATTGAAAACATTATTTAATTATCATTAAATGAATGGATTAAGAGGTGACATATTTTAATGTGCATTACCTTAGGGTAAGTTTGATAAAATCGAAAGACTTGAGACCCGACTGTTAATAGAATAATATTAAGGGGTTAAAATGAGCTTTACCCAATTAACCTGACGTAAAACAAACGTGACTGGCCAGTGAGAAAGCAGGAATCTCGGGGAGCGGGTAAGGTATAAATTTCGAGGCAAAATTAAGGGTAATGACGTAATTATGCTAAGTACAGTCTTCTTCCTTCAAGCTTCTTTGGTTATTAATGAGTTAAACTGATGAGAGTGACAATTACGTGTGCACCAAGCGAAAAGCCCAACGCAGTAACTCTCACTCTTCTTTCTGCTCCTTTATTCTCTCTCTCTCCCCCTCTGTACCTGCCTCAATCTCATAATTGTTCTTATTTTTATTGTCTTGGGTTTTCTTTTGGAGATGATTTAAAGGTTCTTATGTGAAAGAAAGAAGGAAAAATTTTTAATGGATGGTTTTTGAAGGAGTGGTGGATTTTTGGAAGAGAAATGAAAAGGGAAATGAGGAAATCGTTTAAGGATTCTCTTAAAGCGCTTGAAGCTGATATTCAATTTGCCAACACTCTGTAATCTCTTCTCTCCTTTCTCTGTATTTTCCAGTTTTTTGTTTGTTTGTTTGTTACTGAATTTGGAGAGATATTTTGGGATTTCTGAGAAAATTGTTTCGGTTTCTGATTTTATTTCTTTTTCAAGTTTTTTTATTTTATTTTTAATGACATGTTTGTTCTTGTCTGTTTGTCTGTCTGGTTCCTTTCTTTTTGTTTAGTGGGCTAAGTGGATTGATATTCTGATCAATGTGGATAAGGTATTTATTGAGCGGAAAAGTATAATTTTTTATTTTACCCCAGTTTAAATAGATTTCCTCCATCTCAGAAAATCAAAGTTTGTAAAGGAAAAAAGGGTAGAACTAGCTGTGGAAGTTGGTATTTTTACTTTTGACCCTTTTGTATTTCTGGTAATTTAGTTCTTCCTGTTTCAGGAATTTATGTCAATTAAGCTGTGAACTGGAAAAAATAATGATTAACTAAAAAAAAACTGTTTTTTCTGGGATTTCTCTCATTGAAGGTTGTTATAATGATGCTACTTTGTGTCACAGACATTTTCTTTGCTCTATGTTGGCATGATTCGTTCAAGTGTTTTTGTAACTTATCCACGGAAGAACTATCCAGGAGACTACATGTGATTTTTTTAGAAATTAGAACGCTTGATAATCATTGTTGATTGAGAGCAAATTGCAAATTTAAAGGATTACTGGGACAGTGAATAGACGGTGAATGTGCCCGTTTTGTCTTTTCTGTAGCCACGTGAGACTTCACATGATGCGGGTGTAGATGGACGAATGATACCGTGCTAGATGAATTGCTTTCTTGTTTGAAACTGGTTTCAGATTTTTATTATGCTCTGCATTTTATATCATATTTAGTATGCATATCAGTTTCTGTTTTAAACAGGCTTCTCAATGGCTCCCTGTTCTTTCCCTGGCCAAGATAGAAGGTTTAATAAGCTCAATACATGGTTATTGACATCTTTGTGGTTATGAAATTTTCTGCGTTGGACAATTTGTTCCTCAGAAACGAAGTTAGTGTGTGTGTGTGTGTGTTTATGGGGCTCTTTATTATGATGCCCAAAAATATGGTTTATTTATCTGTTTTACTTGTGATGCAGAGCTTCTGATTATCCCAGGGAATATGATGGTGCCTGCCTTCAAATGAGATTATCCTACAGCCCTGCCGCTCACCTTTTTCTTTTTCTTGTCCAATGGACTGGCTTTCACCTAGCTGGTGCCTTGGGATTGCTTAGAATTCTTATATACAAGGTGGTTTACATATTCTTTTCTAGTTTATGTGAAGTTGTTTATAGTGGCCAAAAGTTAATTTATGATTTCTGAACTCCCTTCTGCTTGCAAATTTTATTATAGTTAAAAACAAACGCTGCCTTATCCTTGATGTATTATTACCATGTTGAGTCGCAGGCTTATGAGGATGGAAAAACAACCATGTCTATTCATGAAAGAAAGGCTAGCATAAGAGAGTTCTATGGTGAGTGAGGTTTAAAGAAGTCAATAACTTTCAAGTGTATGAATCAAAATTTTAAAGCATGCTGCATTTGGTTTATAATTTATTTTCTTTGAACAAAGATACCAGCAGTCCAATCCATTCATCACCTTTTCTTTTTGTGTTGCAGGGGTGATATTTCCTTCTTTACTGCAACTTCAAAGAGGAATCACTGATGTAGAAGACAGAAAGCAAAAAGAAATCTGTGCAAAGTACAAAAAGAAAGATGAAATGGACAAAGGAAAGGTCTCTGAAATTGATATAGAGAGAGAAGAAGAATGTGGCATTTGCATGGAGATTAATGGCAGGGTTGTATTGCCCAAATGCAATCATGCAATGTGTTTGAAGTGCTATCGGGATTGGTAAGTTAACTTCCACACACCAGCAAGCATGTGCACATGGACACAGAAATAATCACATAGGAGGACTCAATCAGGGAATGTAACTTCTAAAATCATGCAGCTAGGTACTTTTTCTATTGATGCTTTTACAATATCCAGTCTATTTGCACAGGGGATGAAAATTGATAAATACTTGGTAGACTAAGTTATCGCTTTGATGTTCAAGAGGTTGGCGATTCTGTTGCTGCTTGACTCATTTCATTATTCCATAGAAACCACCATTTTATGGATCGATATTGAATGTAGCAATTTCTTTTGTTGTTGTTTTTCTTGGAAGTTCATTATTCTCTCAACATATAGAATTCATGTTGCTTGATCATTTGCTAAAAAGATCGTCCCCTGGCAAATTATTTGGTGCTATCTTCTTTTGGGGTCGTCCTTGTCTGCCAAAATCATCTTGTCAAATACGGCCAGGATCAGATAATTATGTCTAAATTCTCTGCTAGTTCATGTAAACGCCAATGAATCCTAGTGTGCTTTTGGTCCATGCTCACATTACAAGTTTGACTTCAAATCTCTCTTCTTGCTGTGGTTGCTTTAGGCGTGCTCGCTCTCAATCATGTCCTTTCTGCCGAGACAGTCTCAAGAGAGTCAACTCAGGTGATCTCTGGATCTACACCAGCAGAAATGAGATTATCGACTTGTCTTCAATCACCAGACAGAATTTGAAGAGACTGTTCATGTACATTGACAGGTTGCCTCTCATTGTTCCTGATCCAGTGCTTGTTCCTTACGAGCCCTGTTACCGGTTTTAGGGTCTGGAGTTTGTATAAAATTCTGGTTGGTTGTATATGATTCTTGCTTCTCTACTTACAGGAGCACATTTTAACGCTGTAAATACCTTCTCATTTTTAGCACGCTATGATTTACAAATTTATTCATTTAAATGTGTAGAAAATTCGTGCTGACGACAGGTACGTGGGGCTGTCTTTGCCCATTGATCATTGCACGATCATCCTTGGAAGTTGAAGGGTGATGCGGAGTTTTGATCATCCGGGCTTATGCAAAGATTAGTCTTTTCAAAATTACCTTGAAAATGTGTCACTGTTCGTTGAAGCAATTTCCCTCTCTCTCTCTCTCGTTCTGGTCTCTACTAGGATCGGTGCCCGTGGTTCTTTACTGGCCATATCAAAAAAAAAAAAAAAGAGCATTGTTTCTGTTTTTTTTTTTGTTTTTTTTCTTTCCTGCGTGATAAAATATTTAAAATGAAGATAAAAACTTGAAGAAATTAATCATCATATATGTGAAAAAGTATAAACAAATTTATTGTGATTTATTTGAAATAGCGGGCTAAGAGCAAATTGTTGTTCCCTTTAAACAAGGCTAAGAGCAAACTATTGTTCCCTTTAAATAGTGATTTGGTTAAAAAAATTTCAAAGTGTCCAATGATTAAGTTGTAAAAAAAATCAATGGTAAAGGATGTTGTCACATTACGTTAATCTAGATTAATATCTAGGTTTAATCTAGATTAACAGATTAACATATAAAATTTATAATTAGTTAACAGATTAACATATAAAATTTATAATTATCCTCGTATTAACAATTTAGATTAATATCTAGGTTAACAGATTAACGTATAAAATGTATTAACAATTTAGATTAATATCTAGGTTAACAGATTAACGTATAAAATGTATTAACAATTTAGATTAATATCTAGGTTAACAGATTAACGTATAAAATTTATAATTTAGGTAATGAATATAACCATAAAAATTTATAATTATCTTCATATTAACGTATAAAATTTATAATTTGGGTAATAAATATAACCATAAAAAAGTATAGATCAAATCAAAAGCCAAAACAAATTGAAAGATTACTTTGAAATTTTATAGATTTAAGTGCAGAAATTAAAGAAGAGAAAGAAAAGAAAAAAAAGATGATTGATTCCAAATAAAAAATTTATATACCATACACACACGTTACCCAGAAATAAGGTATTCACAAATAAGGTCCATCAAGAGTTTGAATATCACCTTGAAAGGAAATTAAAGAAGAGAGAGAAAAGAAAAAAAAGATGATTGACTCCAAATAAAAAATTTATATATCATACACACACGTTACCTAGAAATAAGGTATCCAGAAATAAGATCCATCAAGAGTTTGAATATCACCTTGAAAGTCATCGTTTGACTACTAAAAACATCCTCGCGCGCAACTTGAATAGCACAAAAGTGTTTTTTATGCTAAAGCATGTATTGCACATGCCAACCAATATTTTTTTAAATGATATTTTATATTTATTAAAATATTAAATTTTCCTCATCCAACTTGATTCTAACAAAAAAATATATATGATGAAAAAAAAAACCCTTTACTTGTGTCAAAGAAATTTTTTATTTAAGAATAATTTAGTCTTTTTATTTTGCTTTAAAAATTGAAAGTAGAAAAAAATTCTTAGATGCAAGTTTTAAAAAGTTTGATTTTATTATGCTTTAAAAATAAAAAAGATAGATTTACTCCTATTCAATCTAATAATGGCTAATGAATCTTATAAAAAGACCAAATTATCTTTAATATTAAGAAAATTAATTTTTTTGGAAGGGAAAAATGATAATTATATTATTATGGTAAATAGTGATATGTGTGTAGGGATATACTGAATCTCTTTTTTATTTTAGTTTTTTTTTTATTTCTAGATTTATAAATAAAAAATGAAAAAAATTAACAAGTATTTTATATAAAAAGCCTTTTTTTAGAAACTAATACTTTTAATTTAAAGAATTTTATTAATATTGGTTTTTTTCTTAATTAAAAATGGGGTTGGATTTACTTTTATTATTGGCAATATACTATAATATTAGTCAATAAATTTTAATCGTTCCGAATAAATAAAAGATTATTTTTCGTTTTATTTTCCTACATAGGGGGTCAATGGACCTTAAGCTAATCAATAAGATAGTCCTTTAAACTTCATTGCACCCTCTCAAGGTTTAATTTAACATGAGATTTTCAAGTATAAATCCAAAACCTTAAGTAAATTTGAGTTTTTCTTTGTGCTTGCTTGCTTATTAATTTTTCTTGTGGGAAAACAAAATATTGATTTGGAGATTTTGCTTGCACAAACAATGATAAGGCGAGTCCAAGTGATAAGAACATACTGTCGATTTTTTTAGGGTTTGCTTGGAAAAGCATAGAATGAGGCAGTGATAGGTCATTCGCCGAGCAAGTAGCTAATCCTTAGTCATCAAGCATCAACACGGGAAAAAATCATGCAGAAAGCGTAGAGAAACAAGTAGAGTTGAGTTTAGAGATTTCTTACTGCTGCTACATTACATAAAACTATGAAGTATCAAAAAGAAATCCTGCATGATGGAAGTTTAATAATAATTATTTTTTAGTATATTTATTATCGATAAATATATTTAAATAATATTTTTATTATTTTTTTAAAATTATTTTTGATATTAATATATTAAAAAAAATTAAAAATTAAAAATCTAATTTTTATAAAATGCTGTCTGTGCAGTGTTTCCCGACAGAAATCCTGAAAGATGATCGTCGAGATTTTCTCCTGCCAACATTGACCACAAAAGGATGGCGCAGAATGTTACGAGCAAAGCACAAGTCACCAGACCCCACATTCAGATAAGGCAAGATAAGGTCTCTACTTTCACAACCATCAGATGGATACGCAACTTGATCCAACGGCCTCTAAATCACCACAGAGGATAAATCATCAAACCTTCATTAAAACCAGTAGAACACAACAAAACTACCATATCACCACTGATTCCCATTCCGCAACTCTCCAAAAAACACACGCAGTTAACGTTAGACTCCAGCCATGGCTGCCACCACAGCTGCTGCCGCTACATCTTCCTTCATGGGAACACGTCTGCCCGATATCTATTCAAACTCGGGTAGGATCCAAGCTAGGTTCGGATTTGGTGGCAAGAAAGCACCCAAGAAGTCTATCAAGCCCACTCCAGACCGCCCCCTTTGGTATCCAGGAGCCAAGGCACCTGAGTACCTAGATGGCAGCTTGGTTGGTGATTACGGATTTGACCCATTTGGGTTGGGCAAACCAGCTGAGTACTTGCAGTTTGAGCTTGACTCTTTGGACCAAAACTTGGCTAAGAATCTGGCTGGAGATATTATTGGGACACGTACTGAGTTTGCTGATGTGAAGTCAACTCCATTTCAGCCTTACAGTGAGGTTTTTGGGTTGCAAAGGTTCAGGGAGTGTGAGCTCATTCATGGAAGGTGGGCTATGTTGGCTACTCTAGGTGCACTCTCTGTTGAGTGGCTCACTGGAGTTACCTGGCAAGATGCTGGAAAGGTATATATATACGTCAGGAATTTTTCTTGATGTTTTTTAAGGAATTCGATGATGAAAAGTTGTCTTATATATGATTTTTGTGTTTGTTTCAGGTGGAGTTAGTTGAAGGCTCATCATACCTTGGTCAGCCACTACCATTCTCCATTACCGCATTGATCTGGATTGAGGTTGTCGTTATTGGATACATTGAATTCCAAAGGAACGCAGAGCTTGACCCAGAGAAAAGGCTCTACCCAGGAGGCCAGTTCTTTGATCCTCTAGGCCTAGCTTCCGACCCAGAAAAGAAGGCTACCCTTCAATTGGCAGAGATCAAGCACGCTCGCCTTGCCATGGTAGCCTTCCTAGGCTTCGCAGTTCAAGCTTGGGTTACCGGGAAAGGTCCTCTCAACAACTGGGCTACTCACTTGAGCGATCCTCTCCACACAACCATTATTGACAACTTGTCCTCTTAAGAAATGTGATCCTTAATTTTCCATGGGAATGTTTCACTCTGTTTTATTAGTACAGTACGTAGTGTTTCACTATGGAGTTTTAATTTTTTTTACATATAAACTTATTTGAAAGCTTTAATAGGAACTTATTTTCCCTGGGAATGTCCTCTTAAGAAATGTGATCCTTAGTATCGTTAATAAAGCATATTAATTAAAAAACTAAAAGGATAATAGAAGAAAAAAGAAGAAGATAAAGATAAGAAAAAAAAAAATTAAATATTGATGTTTTTTTTATATATAATAAAAAAATTAAATAAGAAATGAGTCTCTTTTGTGAAATAAAAGGATTCATGTTTTTCATTGAGGTACATTCGCCAACGGTTTTAATGATAATATTGAATTTAAATTTTTAATTTCATAAAAAAATTCTCAAAAACTAGCAACAATTACTAATAATATTTTAATCCATCAATGATTCTGTCTGTAATATTCAAATAAAAATTTCAAATTAATTGAATTTTTTTAGAAAATTACCAAATAATACCAATAACTTTTCAATTCGCATTTTGTCCATCTCTGAAAAATACCGATGGATGTTTTCTTTGGTGATTTTTTTTTGTAATTGATATGATGAGCATTATTAATAGTTTACTAACAAATTTATCGATGGATTTTACCGAAGAAATAATTTTTGTCGGTAATTATATTGGTAAATCATTATTTTTTTTTGTTTTTTTTTTAATTTTTTATCATTGTAATTCTTTTAGTATATAACAAGGGAATATTTTTGACAGTAAAATCTCTTAAAAATTTAACAATAAAAATACTTTTTTAATATTTCTATTTGTATTTATTGATTTTCTGACATTAAAAGTTAAAATCCTTGCATATACAACAGGGAATTGCACCTCATCCTCCATGTTTGACTCAGAGCTTGTTTACTAATTGTTTTTTTAAAATATAATAAAATATATTAAAATAATATATATATTTTTTATTTTTTATTAGCTATTTGCTACCATTTGAAAATTATAACTAAAATACATGAAGATATGGTGTTTGTCTGTCTGCGTTCTATTATCGCATGTTTATTTTTTGAATGGATATGCAGGGCCAACACAAATTTGCAAATTTTGTGTTCTCTTTGATAACTCCTTATCTGCTCTTGAAGCCAATAACAGCTTCCTACCATTGAGACTGACATGAGCTGCTGAATGGCCATTCTTTTTTAAATGCCCCTTTGAATAGAAAATAGATGAGGAAGAAAACTTGCATAAAACCTTCATGGAAATTGGGTGGATTTTAGCAGATCAGTGGCAAAAGTTCAATTATACTGGAACTTGGAATGAACAATGCTATGAAATAATCTCCTTTTTGTTATATTTTTGTCTGATCATTTGTAAAAAGACTAAGCGATTATCATGCTGCTTTTTGACACCAACAAACTCATTTTGCTGACTTAAATGATTTAGGTTTTGTTCACTGGTGAAAAGATAGGTGTTGGAATGGGCACAACAAGGAAGGATGCACAGCAGCAAGCAGCTGAGAATGCCCTTCGCAGCTTGGCAGGTAAATCTAATCTCCAGCTCATTTTTCTATCATAATTCTCCTTGCTTGAAACTTCTTATTTTTTGTAATTGTGATACCCTTTTTCTATTGTTTCTTCTCTCAATGAACATGGAGTTAAATATTTGCATGATCTAGGTTAGTCAAGTGTGAATTGTTCATTGATTTTTCTCTTTGTTGCTGTCCATGTCTTGGTTCTCTAGGGAGTGTCTCCTTGTTTCATTTGGCGTATCTAGGATGAAATAAGAAAGTTCTTGATATTGTCATAGGGTTGATGTTAGCCGGGCTAATGGATAGTCATAGGGTTGATGTTATGCGATAGTTATGCATATGCATATTGGTCGCTAATGGACATTTTAGCCAGGCTTAACATAAATTAGATAGATGCAACACTTACGATTCTTATATCAGCATATATTCCCTAGTTGATTGTGGCCTTGAATACTGACCCACATGTTTTATAAGAAAGTACTGAATATATTACTGTTTTCAGAAAAATATATAGCATATGTTTCACCCCATCCTGGTGCATTTGATCGGATTTTGATAAGCTTTCTATTGGATACGAGAATGGATTTGTATGGGACATTACAAATCCTGGATCAAGTGACGTGGTACTAGAAGACGGGTTAGCTAGAGAATGTCTTCCCAAGGTGAGGATTTTTTTATGATGTTTTCAGTAGTTGGTTTGATTCATTTGTTTAAAAACATAGGCGATGCTTGGATAAAGGGTATGCTGGCAAGAAATTTCCAGATGGGGAAGTGGTTATCTGAACTGAAACTACACCCTTTTGGAGTTTGCATTGCACCAAGATGTGGGAGCTAAAACAGTGAAGGGTTAGTGAGCTAGCTTCATGTCTGCTACTGTGGCTTTAACCAAGCTCCACTTATTCTTGTTAAGAGGTAAGACTTGGTGGTCAGGCCCATTATCCAAGTACTCCCATGTAGTTGAATCAGCTATCCCTTTAGAGTTGATTTACCATTTTATTGTCATGTTCATTGGGAGTCTCTGTTTACTTCTTTATCTTCCACAATTTTGAAGCCAGCAATTATTTATTTTAGTTTTTTTCTGACTTCTCATGTGGCCCACTGTATCACAAGTCTTTGTTGGTTTCAAAAGCCTCTCTCTGTCTTGTTATGTGTTGGAAAATCTTTTTGTTTTTGTTCTGGGTGATTTGGCACTTGACTGACGGTGAACTTGAAGGACTAAATATTTTTAAACCTGTAATTACTATTTTAAGTTTGTTAAATGCCTTTTCACTTTTTAGATTAATAGAATGCTATAAGCAATCCCTTTCTATTACTTTACATTGTCTGCATGCCTAATATGCAGCTGTTATATTCTTGACAAATGATTTGCAGGTTGCTGATGCTGAACTTGGGAGTACATCCAATATGGTAAATAATCAACAGCAGAAGCGTGCCAGCTCCCCAAGGTAATGCAAAAAATATTCTTCCTTTTATAGTGAATCGATTGTAAATTTGATCTCATAATGACATAGAGGAAGTAGGGCAGAAACTTTTTTCCAACGAGTTTTTGAGGAGTGGGATTGGTGTGACTAGTGATTGTGTTCGAACCAATAGTTTGACAGTGTTTTCAGTAGATTGGATTTCATTTCTTTTTTGAGTCATGAAGTGGATTTATTTGAACACGTGGAATTCATGGGCTCTATAGTGGCGAATTCAGTCCTAGGGTTGGCTTATTGAGGTGGTTTGGGAGTTGCGAAGCTTGTGTTGAGCGTCTCAGAGATGGATTGTTCTTGCCTTTCTGAACGTCGTGTCTGAAGGATTTTTTTTCGGGTCCTGTCCTGGAAATTTTCACACTTGTACATTCATATATACTCCTTGCTGAACCTTTTTGCCTGTCTTTCATTTTTCTATTCCTTATTGTGGAACTTCTGCATGCTGTCTTGTACCATTCGTGTATGGCATGTGCTTTTTGAATGTCATCCCCCATGGAAATTAGATTCATTTGGAATTATGAATCTATGCTACTCTCTGGGGTGCAAGTTGGAAGGAAATTGTAGGGTGAGGTGTTTCTTTTTTGATTGATTTGATGCATCGTAATGACACTTTTGTACCTTTGTGATTCCTTCATTGCTAATCTTTGTAGAACATGAATTATTCCTGGCAATTTGTATTGTTGGGTACTTTTTTTTCCTGATGTGTATACGAAATCTGGTCTCGGCATTTGCATTCTTGTCATGGAGAATTATTGCATGTCTAGTTTGGAGATACATGATGGTGTGTTGGTGATTTTTTGGAAGCTTGGTTGCTTCCTACTTGAGTTGCTAGTTGTCGAAATCTAATTATTGTGCATGCCTTCCTGATATGGTTGCTTAATCTTCCCAGATTGCCTCAACCTTTACCAAGTAAACGGTCAAAGGAAGAACTGCGTGGTTCACGAAGTCTACCCTTTCAGCAACCCAACACCCGGAATCATGTTTCAGGTCGCTAATATCGAGAAAACTTGGTATTGACTCGAGGACTTGGTGTCAGGATCAACAGGTCAGATGGTCCTTGCTGGGAGAATCAGTAACTCCAGCTCTGTTAGAACCTAATTTATTACAGTGATAAAATGCAAAAAAGTTTCTATGCGTCATTATTTCGCTGTCAGGTGATGAAAAATGATTTGGGGCAGAGAGCTTTCAGCGGAGCACCTTAAGAAAGCAACGGTGGTTTAACACAAATGTTGCTACATATGGAGCTATTCAGCCTGGGAGTTACCCGTGGGCCTACCTCGATCTAGTTAAAAAATTTCAAGTTACCATTGATGTTTGCAAGATTTGTTTTTTTTATTGGTTTCGATTTTAAGATTTTCAATGCAGACCACAGAGGATGCGTCTTTGGTAACAGAGCAACATTGTTTCAAGTGCATTGTGATATCATTTGACTATGATTATGCTTCTCTGCCCCTTGAACGAGACAGAGTTAGTAACGGTAATTATTGCCAACCGGAGCGAGGGACAAGTTCCAGAATCTCCGGTGACTTGTCACTCTCGAGGTTACCTGCTGCTTTCATCTTTGTATGGAGGAGGGAAGTGTCGGTCAATTGCTCTGACATCAGAAACATGCGCTCTCTATCATTACAGAAGAATCTACCATCAATTATGTGTTGGTGCAGGATCCTTGCGTCCTGGAACTATAATTAGATGACAGTAGCATTTCCATGACTGGACAGAAAATGAAGCTTTACAGTTAAAATAGGCCCTTCTGCTTACACATCAATTTCATAGTTTATACTATCATTTCTTTCAATAAAAAAACTACATCATTGTTTTCAAAATCGTGTGTATATATATATATATATTAACTTTGTTCTTTGGGAAATTATATTTTATATCATAAAGTTCATAATTTCATAATATTTTATATCCCAATACTGACATGCTAAAATAAAATCAATAAAAAATATAGAATTATTTATAATATTATCATCATAGTCTATTCGATGATTAAAGAATTATTGTAATATTAATAATACAACTTTTTCATTAAACATATAGTCTCTACTTTGTTTCTAAATCAATATTACAGCTTTGCCAAAAATTAGAGAAGAGTTAAAATTTCATAGCGATATTTCATCAAATACTTCATTTGCAATACAAATTCAACCAAACTGCGAATTCTTGCGACTTGGATCCTTGAATGAACACCACAATAACTAAATTTCCCCCATTTTTGTCAGCAACCTTGTATAACCTTCCTGGAATTTGTTTGAGGATTACGACTAAAGCAGGAGCACCCCCCTGAGAATTTCACATACACCAAGGCACATGTTCCTAGTTGTCAGATACACCCCCCGGAAACGAGCGATATTATTTCGAGGCTCTCCGACATTTAAAAAATAAACATGTTCAACTTGTTCTACAACAGGAATCCACCCCACAAAATACAATTCATGTATAAAGTAGGATCCACTGTTTCAAAACTAGAGTTTCTACCTTTCTCCTCTCTGTTTTCTCACCACAAAGTGGAGTCAGCTTCTTGTATTTTTGTTGACGAAATCACGAGCAACATGCTGACTACAAAATCATTCAAAAACTAAACTCTTCTTTACATCATTTTCTTATTTATACCTCTACTCCAACTAACTAACTGAATCTGTTACAATCTTTAACTACTTTAATTCCCATTCTTCTTCTATACCAGTCATCTATTACATCTTTTCCCGCCATTCTTCTTTCCTTTGTTATTTCACTTCTTTACTTCCAGCTCACGTTATGACTTCTATTGCTTCTGTTACAAATTATGGGTTTTAATTATTTTTGCGGGTGGAAGTTTTGAGACTAAGTGAGGAAGTGAATAGGTGAAATTATGGGTTTTACTTTATATGGAAAATTGGAAACTTAGATCAAGAATCGTGGAGGAGAAGTGAAAAGGTTGCCGCCCATGATTCTTTCACCCACGGCTGCTAGGGTTTTTTCTTTCAGGGAGAGCCGAAGAAGAGAGAGAGAGAGAGAGAGAGACATGGTACAAGCGCCTGGTTATTACTATTATTTCATTTTATGAAACAACTTTGGGAAGTTAAAATCATTAAACACTCAACATATAAATACAAGTTTCAATATCCAGGTGACAATAACAGCATCTTTCATGCAAGCTAGTAGAAAAATTTACAACGACATCATGGCTTAGTCACAAATGTCTACACTAACACCTGCAATTGTCTCGCTGCCTCCTATTTGCCAGGCCACTTAAAAATTGTAGACAACCAAGTAGTAGCACGGGATCAGGCACAGAATAAGTTTTCTTGAAGCTAAAGAAATCCTAAATTGGTTAGCAGCTTCTGTATCCAGTGCAGGTCATTTTGAACAATACTATTTCTAACGAGCTCTTGCTTCTTTTCTTCTTGGGCCAGTGGCTTGTATCCGCGTTCATAGCCATGCTGCTCCTCACCATTGAATCCATTGACTGTTTCTTCTCTTTGTGGATTGTCATCATCAGTATCACGCTTTTCTTCTTCCGCCTGTGGCTTATGTTTGACTTCGTTACCGTGCTGCTCCCCGTCAATGAAACCATTAACTGTTTCTTCTCGAAGTGGTTTGTCACCGAATTCATGCTTCTCATCTAACTGAATATTATTACAACTCGGTTAATTGACAAGAAGAGCATAATGGACATAAATGACATAAAATGTATCACAAGATCTATCAAACCAGTAACATGCACTTTGCAATAGCCTTAACGTGCTTGTATGAGTGCCCGAGTGGTTGTAAAGAAGCAACCATCCGAGGAGATTTGTGATTGGAGGAGGCTGATGTTTTTTTCTTTCCTCGAGCATTTCTCATTTTATGGAAATGGTGGTGGCTATCAAGTTACTATTAGAACTTCTTGCATATTTCAAAGCAATAGCTCTCGGTAACATATTTCATTTGTTAACAAAGAGTTCTGCTGTTCTCTCGCGTATGATGTTTACAACAAAAATGTACCGGTCTAAAGTGCCAGGGGCACAGCATCTGTGGATCCTGGTTCTAAAGAACAAGGGAACATGAAGCTCTGTTTTTTTTAACCTGTCCAGAATACAAGTGTACACTTGACAAAGTGAGAGGGAAGAGAGGATCTTTCTTGTTCCATTCCTTTTGGCAGAGTTATTTGGTTCTGGATAGTTTTGTCTTTTCAAGAAGATACAAACCAATGCCAGATTAATTCTTTGGAGTGAATCCCCTAGCACTAGATAAATCGCCCAAAGGAAATGTCCAATAACTTTATTTCATTCAAAGCGAAATTGGTGGCAGAAACGAAGAAAAAGACAATGGAGTACGCATTAATCAGGCAGTTACCTGTAGGAAATTGTGATTCTCAACTTCATTAACTCCAACAGAGGCATGAAAGGCCCTACTTGTATCACCTTCATTGTCAATAGCTGCTTCATTTGGTTGAACTGATACTGCAGACAAGTCAGGTACCGGAACAGGATCTGCTTCATGAGGAACCACAATTCCTCCGACGTCCTTTGATGAGTTTATGGCTGTTAGAGCATCATCATTTCTGACACCATCCTCTCTGATCACCGTACTCTTGTTTGACTTAGTTCTGTTTTCAACTAACACTTCATTCACAGCAGAAGCCCCCTCTGAGTAACGTATGTTATCTGCTACAATTGCTACAGGCTTCTCTTGCATAGAAGAAATGTTATCAGCAACAATTCGTTTCTCATAAGTCACTGGAGTTGGCTCCTTTTCCGGGTTAGAACTCACATTCATAGTAACTCCTCCATTGCTTGCATCAGAAACCAATTCTTCCTTTTGATGAGTCAAGTTCTCAGTAACAATCAGCATTTCTGGGTTGACAGAAGGTTCCTCAGTCCCATTAGCAGATGGTTCTTCCTCTGTTACCTTCTGCAATGCAGCATCTTCCCAATCTTCCCAAACTACGATTGTATTATCAGTTTCCCGAGTTTGGAGAACTCGATCAGGACCCGGTTGCCAGCAAATTCCCCCACCAATACCTTTCAGTATGAACTTGAACTGGAAGGATTTTCCAACCGGTAAATCCTACATAAAACATTAAAACGCATCAGCACCTCATCAAATATTTCTAAAAGCAACAACATTTTATACATCGTCTAGTAGTTTCTGCTTACCAGTTCAACAGTCCAAAGATGCTCATCTGACCAGTTCAATGGTATTACACTTCCAGGATCCCATAATCCCAACAGAGGATCTTCCCCCACTATGGTAAATTGCTCACCAAAGGAACACGCTTTCTGTAGCTGGAATTTGACACGAACTGTCTTTGATTCATCTGCACTCATAGATAAGCACGCCAAGCTGAGACTAAGGGTTGACCAAAAGATCTCAAGGGCCAAACAAGAAAAAGAATACTTACTTGTTTCTTGGTTTTGACCGTCTCCGATCTCCAAGTCTACCTACGAGAAGAAATTAAAATCAGTTTAGATTTTATACTGAATTTTAAGCACATACACAATAAGCCCTAACCCCATAAGCATCTTATAACATCATCAACTACAACTGCTTTAGCGAAATAAACACAAGTAGAGGTTAAAGATAAGTATTTTAAGCATAATTTCTCTGTCTTAGATATAATTCTTCCAAGGGCTTAGAGAAATAAACACAAGTAGAGGTTAAAGATAAGTATTTTAAGCATAATTTCTCTGTCTTCGATATAATTCTTCCAAGGGCTCTGTTTTCTCTTTTGAAAACTTGTCAAGAAAACATCTTTGAGTCTGCCTTCATGGGTATTTTGAATACATCTCCAACAATTGAGAATAAATAAAATTAATAAGGGACAAGAAAAGGAACCACTCCAGAAAGTTTTGGAGACCTAAAAAGGAAAGCTGAAACTTGAAAGCTAAGCTATGATATACATAGAGCAAGAGAGAAGGAAAAGAAAAGAGCGCATGCCTGGGACTCAGGTGAGGGAGAAGAAGAAACACGAATTGTACAGATAGGCTTGTGTTTCACACATAGGAAGTGCAAGAAGCCAACATTATGAACAAGCTTCTTTGATGGAAAAATACTAATTTCATGTCTCAATTCTCTGGATGAGAAAAGGGGTCTGTCTCCATTTTTGTGAAGGATGATCTTTGAGAAAGAACTGGCTAGGGTTTCCATCACCTGAAAACAGCAGTAGTTCAGTTGCTAAGCAGTGGATAGCAGAGAACTGATGATTGATTTGATTTGTTTTGTTTTGTTTTGTTTTGTCTGTCGATTCACTGTGCCCTGGGAGATGGATGATAGGGCGTCGAGTCGAGACTCGAGAGAGTTGATAAAATGAATGTGGAGGCCTGACACGTGTGAGAGACGAGGCACCTGGAGGAGCCCTCGTTAATAAATTATCGGTACAGTACCATAGGAGGTTTTTAAGGTCACCGTCGGTGCTCAGCTCCCTTTCAACCCCCACCATCAATTTCGGATAATAATTTATTTTTAATACCATTGAACAAGAAGGATTCTATTTGGCAAGTTCTTTCTATTCTAGCATGGAGGTTCGGCTCCTGACATGACACGCTGGCGCATGGATACTCA